GGACTTTGCATGACGGAGCAGTGAGCAGATCAAGTCTTCAATGCTTTCTTAGCACTTTTGTAAAGAAAATGCTCGCGGAAAGCGTTAATTCTGGCGTTAAAAAATGTCTGAGGAAAGCACTAATTTTGTAATTTCATTGTGTACAATTATTTTGAAAGGTATCTGCCCTACTGGTTCCAGCACCTCACGAGGAATTCTATGGGTACTCATGGAGTTACAATACTCACAGTGGATCTGGACAATTCTTACAGGAGTTTCCAGGAGCGCGGCTTTTCGGTGCTTTCATTTCCAAGTTGAGCGAATCACAATTGAGCTGTTAAATTCGGTTATGCATTAAATTCTGGGGTTTGCTGTGGTGTATTTTTTCGGATTTGATATAGTTATGAAGTTGTGCACCGCGGGTTAGCGCTCTTCTCTTCTGAGGGCTTATTAATCAAGGGCTGGTTCTCGGATTGATTCCGGATTTTCTGTTGTCAGGGAATATCAAATTATGAGTATGAACGGGTACCATAAGAGGAGAAGTCAGTTAGGGGACAGAAATTTAATAGGAGAGGCAGCTTTTAAATCAGATTTAGTTGCTTTTCCCATCTCTCAATTTCTGCCTCACTTATAATGACAGCTCGTTGTGATTGAGCCATTTCTCTTGTTTAGAGGCAGCTGATAGGATTCTGTGTAGTTTCATACAAGGATGCATTCGTGAAATATTGAACATAGGAAGCTGTAGGGTCATGCATACGAGCACTGCTGCATTAGTGCGGCGAAATGAAATCCCGAGACAGCGAGTGCTGTGCTGCCTGCTGTAAATTTACCTTGTACGGGCTGGCTTTTTTTTTGTGTTTCTCTCGATTCAGTGTGAAATGGCGCGAACTGCCTTGTCCCTGGTTTGGAATAGATCAGTTGAAAATCAGGATTTTCGGGCCAACTTTCTAGCTGCTGCGGTGTACATTCATCATCTTTTCATTCCCCTGACCTTTTCCTAGCTGGCGAATAATTTGCAAAATAGAATCGTTCGCTTTTATTTGACGAAATTCCGTTCTCCTTACTAGTTGATTTGATAGAGTCTCTCATAGAGGCCGAGATATCGACGGTGAATGTGGGGCATTTTTTTGCAGACCGCCCACCAATGCAACGTTCAGCAAGTACACCTCGCGTTGTTGGACAGTCATCGGCAATACGACAGGCCCTAGGTCACCTCCCGCCAGTTCAACCTGCAGCAACTCTACATTCCGATCAGCAGCCTCGCAGTAGCACGAAATTACTTGATAAGGTAAATTATTTCACCATCTGTTCCAGCCAGTACAAATTTGACTTCTCGGGACACATAGAAAGGGCAGCTAAAAACAGTGTCTTTGCATTTGCCCGAGTTTCCTGTTTTTCCGGAGTATTTAAAATGTTCCTCCTTCCTTGTTCCTTGTCTTCGATTGGCTAATTTTCAGTTCACGCGGCAACTTTATTGCTACATCTAAATTTCCTTTTCGTTAAGGAAGCTATAGATGCTCTTGTGAAAGCTGTGGATCCAATGGAAGCAGTGGAAGATGATGTGTCGGATGTGCTTGTGCAGTTAATTGAGGAATTCGTTGATGACCTCATTCAGTATTCGGCACGCCTCACAAAGTATAGGTAACGAACGGCTCATATTCCATAAGCTTTAACATTTGACTTCAAAAATTAGTTCTTTGCGGCCCTTCCCCAAAGCATAGAGATATAGCATGCGTTGAAAATTGAAGAAATGTTTAAAGATCGAATCACATCACTTAAGACATAGTTCGCTGTAAAATATTCTGTATAAACGTCGGAGCGAACAGTCATTTGTAGGCATCGATTCACCGCTATTTGACTGTCGTTGTGGCACAGCTAACAAAAAAGTGGAGGACGACAAAGAGTAGGCAATGAGTATTTGCTTTATCATCCGGCGGGTTTCGGTTATTTGTATTGGCCAGATTACATTTAAATGGTTTTCTTTTTGCAGGAATTCGCCAAAAATTGAGGCAAAAGATGTGCAGTTCACGCTGCAGAGGAAATACAAGATGTTTTTGTCGCCAAATCCTGGTTCCCAGGTGGGCGATCCGAATGCG